TAATAAAATAGCTAAAATAATAAAATAAAATAAATTTAGAATTTTTCGAAAAAAAATTGTTGCTGTCCCTTTATTAGTGTATTTTTTTTTTTTTTGGACCCGTGGTCCTTTTTACGTAACGCCAATTTTAAGGAGGATTGTTGACTACGGTTAGTGACGTCCCCACGACCACTTTCCATTCGCCCCTCTCTCTCTCTCTCTCTCTCTCTCTCTCTCTCTCTCTCTCTCTCTCTCTTTCCCCCGGTGTTTACACGATAATCCGCGGTGTTATAAGAACTTTGTAAGAAGTTGAGAACCTCTATGGGAGTCTGGGTAATAAAATGAGGACCCCTGCCCTCCCTCGGGGGTGGGGCCCCCTCGATAACCCATATTGTACCCCCCATCCACCTCATACCCCTCTTACCGCCGCCCCTGGCCGTATATACTCGAGTTGACTGAACGAGTTTTGTCCTGAGTAGTCAGACCAGAGGGAAATCTTACAATTTCAATATTAACAATAATTTTTATATGAAATTTTTAAAAATTGATGGTCATATGTGGATGAATTTTCTCATAATTTTCATATAACTTTTTTATTTATTGATTAAACCATTAATTTTTTATAACATTTTTCAACAAAAACCCAGAGGTGGAGCACGCTGACAATACTTCCGCAACGGCATATATACACGATCATATACCACCCCTAGTCTCCCCCCTCCCCCTAACAACAGTAGGGTGGTACAGTCCAAGCTAAAAATCATTCAACTTGACAAAGTACAGGTGATGGAGAAAGTTTCTTTTATTATAAAAAAAAGAAGCAAAAAAAATTAAATTAAACTTTTTATTTATTTATTTTCTTTTTTTTTTGTATTCTTAAATTGAATTTTTTTTTCCAAAGAAAAAAAAAGTAATTTGGAAACTTTTTTTTAATTGTTAATATTTTTTGGGGGTGAATATGAAATTTTTCTGTCACATTTTTTAAGCTGATAAAAAAATGCGGTTGATTTAGTTTTTTTTTTCCTAAATAAATTTATATTTTATAGAAAATTTCCCCTTGAAAGAATATATATAGTTTTTAAAAATATTTTTTTTTTTGAAAATGAATTTTATTTTTAAATTATGAGCGGCTTTTTTTTAAACGAGTTTTGAGATTTTTTATGGAAATTGAATAAAAATAAATTTTTGGATTAAATATAAATTTTATGGAATAAATAAAATTGTATTTATTTTGAATATTGTAAATTGTAAATTTAATTTTTTTTAAAACATTTTTTGCATTTGTATTATATTTTCAATTTTTTATTTATGTTGATTATATAGGAATTTTGTTATTGTCAAATAATACTGATATTTGTTTAATCAAATTATATTTGATCTACCAAAATTTTAGTTACGTCAACAAAATTATTGTTCTGTTAACTGAAATTTGAGAAAAACGTAAAAATTTTAGTTTCTTTTTGATTGAATTAACTAAAATTAATTACGAACTAACAAACATTGAATAAATAATATCAGTAAGTGAAAATAGTTAATAAACAAAAAATTACAATAAAAAAATTTTTAATTAACTAATTTTTGGTTTTTATAGTAAATTTCTAATACTTCAATTTTTTTTTATCAGATGATTATAATTGTCAGTACAATTAACATTTTAGAACTAATTTATTATTAATAAATTTATATTTATTTTAATTATACTAGAATAGTTTAGCTTAATTTTTATATATTTTTGAAAAGTTAAATTTTTAATGTGAAAATGTTTCAATAATTTATCGAGATACGATTTTATTTTTATAAACGTTTGATTCTGTTCAACATCCGTGAAAATAATTTTACTTGAAATTTACGTTTGGGAAAAAAAGAGATTTTCTCTCACTGAAAAATATTCGATGTTAATTTTAAAGCGAATATACAATTTTTTTTTTTTTTTTTAAAAAGGGGTAAATTTTTCCATGGAATAATCAAAATAATAATAATAATAATAATTCGAAATATGACAAATGAATATCTTTTGAAATTAATTTGGTATACTTGATAGAAAATTGTATTAAATCTGTTCAATTTTTTAAAAAAGTTCAAATCGTATATAAACTAACGTTAATTTTTTTTTTTTTTTTAAAGAGAATTTTCCTAAATTATTTATTTATAGATTCTTTTCATGAAATAATAGTTATTTTGTTCTATTAAAAAAAAAAAATTATATTTATTCTTCTGTAAAAGAAAATTTCTAAAATTATTACAAAAATTTTTGGTGGAAAAATAATTATAGAATTATTTTCTATAAGAAGTGAATATTAAAAAAAAAAATTGAGAAAGAATAAAAAAATAAAGGCAATTTTTTTTTTATTGCCTATTATTGTGATAATTATGAAACTAAAGAAAACAAGGTGAATTAAAATTATTTACATTCCATTTATATCTATAGTTGTGGTCAAGAAATCAAGTATAAGTATACTCGAACTGTAATGAGATAATTTTAGTGAATTATTGATTTGGTATATATGTAAAGACATAAAGTTTTATTTGTCGAGTCTATATTTTGTATTTCGATTCTTCAGTTTGCGTTCAAATAAGTCATATTCAATAATTGAAAAAAGATGATAAACAATTATTGAATATTAAAAATCTATTATAGAAATTTCATATATAAATAAAAAAAAAATCAACGGTAGTTAGAATTTAATTACAAAGATAGTTAGAAAATAAATGAAAATTTTAATTAAAATCAAATAATTATTAATTAAAAAAATATGTATTTAAATTCGCTTTTTGATTTTTAAAATAAAATTTTAATTAAAAAATTTTGCAAATGCAATTTTAGTTTAGGATGGAATTTACATTTTCTGACACATTGTCACAGAAACGTTTATTATGAAAATACAGGTGTAATTATGCGTTTTCCTAGCAGTTCTCTTGACGTTACAACCATACGATTTATGGAATCCATTGGGGGGCGCTTTTAGTACGAATGATGTAATAAAGGCAACGCGCAACACGTTTCCTTCTATTATCATGCGTTCATCGAACAGAGTGCAGATTGAATCAGAGTTCACTTTTTTTTTTTTTTCAAATTCAATCCGTATAGGACACTGTTTAATGACAAGCTTTCATATTTCTAATTTTTTCACTGCGAATTTTCAATTTTTGTCCCTAATATTTTTATTTTCTTATTTTTTTTGGAAAATTTATTGTTACGAAAAAGTTGGAAAAAAAATTTTAATTTCTGTAATTTAACAAAGTAGCTGTTACTTTGCATATCAAAATATTAAACTTTATGTATAAAATCAGAAAAGAGATTTTTTTTAGAGAAATATATGTAGATTCAAGCTGTGCAACATACATTTTTTTTTTGCTTTAAAATCATGGCTGAAATAACTGTACAACATCTCTCGAATGGTCGTCTTTCTGCATTACATACGTGACAGAAATTTCGAATGGCAAAAGATTTCGTTGAGAAGATACTGGAGCAATAACAACACAGTTTATTAAAGTTTTTCGTGAATTTCAACTTTAACCCCCCTCGTGAAATAATTTACGATATATATTTTTTTTTTGCTCTTTAAATATATATTTCTAAATATTTTTTTCAAAAAAATAATGAAGGAGAATATTTTCGATGGGGAAAAAAAATGTAGAAATCATTTTTCCAATGAGGAACATTTTTTTTTATCGAAAAAGAATTATAACCGATTTTTAACTAGAAAATCAAAAAAATTCAATTTTTCGATATATGGGAAAGTTTTAAGAGTTTTTGCTCTTAAATTGCGAAAAAATTTGCAAAAAAAAAATAATTATCGCCAAAAATTGAAAATTCGATTAATTTTTTAATATTATTATTAATATTTAATTTTGTAATTAAAAATATTGATTTCAAATTGTAAGTATGCTAACAATATTAGAATAATTCTATAATTAATTGTTAGTTCCAATTTGTAATTATTAATTTTAATTAAAAAAAAAAAAATTAGTTAATAATGATAATTTTTATTTTAATTTCAAATATTTTATTTCTGCACAAAAATTAGAGATGTATTACGCGAGATTGCAAATGAAAGCCGATAAATTAAAAAAAAAACTTCTGAAAAATATACCGCAAGAAAATATGCATAATAAACTCGAAATTGACTTTTTGAAAAAATAAAACATGTGAATGTTGCGCTTAATTGTCAGGTAAAGATAAAAGTGGAATTATGAATCAAAAAGTAAGAAAGACACAGGATGAAATGAATGCTCCAAGGGCCCAAGATACAAGATATATATATATATAAAAGCATACTAGGACCCCGTTCGTTCGTGACTGTTCCGAACGTGCGAAACCAGTTATTTAACTATAGTCCCCACGTTGGCTATATATATATATATATATATATATATATATATATATATATATATATATATATATGTGGGAACGACTACCGGGAGGATGCGAATGCCTACCACTCATGATGCCTACAAATCTCGCCACCTTGAAGCACCTTTGGACCCCCTTTACTAAGTGGTCAGCAAAAAAAAAAAAATAAATAAAAAAATAAAATAAGACGCAAAAAAGAAGAAAGAGCGCGAAAATAACACGAGGACAGGGCCTCGCAGCGAAATACATAATTGAATGAAAACGCGGTGAACAACGCCAAAAGGTAGTTCTTTCTAAAAAGGGGTGGGAAAAGGGTGGGTGGAATGCTATAATTTGAAGCCAGACAGTCATGCGTTATTCAACTCCGAGTACAACGCTCTCTCAAACCCTTTTTCGTCCTTCATCGTCAGCAATGCTCTCTTTCGCTCTACATTTTCATGTTTCTCCTATATATATATATTTATATCATCCCTCTCCTGTCATCATTGTTATACTTTCGACCTACTCTCACCGATTTATTATTGATATTCTCATTTTTTCCCCCCATTCGATTAAATTAAACCAATTTTTTTTTTTTTTAAATAAGAAACAAAATTTTTGCCAATTTAATTGAAATTTTTTTAATAGAAATAGAAACAAAAAATTAATTTTATTTTTTTCGTTGCAGGAGAGCGATAATCTTTGGTGGGATGCATTTGCGACTGAATTTTTTGAAGAGGATGCAACTCTTACTCTTGCGTTTTGTTTGGAGGATGGACCGAAAAGATACTGTGAGTCAATTTATTTTAGAAAAAAAAAAAAAAACCCTTTTTTTTATGACAGTTTTATTTGAAATTTATTTTTGAACTTTCAGCTATAGGAAGAACATTAATACCAAGGTATTTTCGTTCGATATTTGAGGGTGGTGTGACGGAACTTTACTATAATATGAAGCATCCGAAGGAATCGTTTCACAATACAAGTATAACATTAGACTGTGATCACTGCGTTATGGTCACGCATCATGCGAAACCAATGTTCACAAAGGTGAGATTTCTTTTAATATTAATTTTTATTATCGAATTAATTTGGCTATTTATGGATTTTTTTCATTCGATTTTTTACTCTCAAAATTTTGAATTGAGAAATTATTTTAATTCAAATTAGTAGAAATTTTCCCTAATTTTTGTTATATTACTATTTAGTAACATTTTTTTTTCTGGGGAAATTTCCAATTCAAATTTAGAGAGAATTATAATTAGTTTTTTTATTCTTTATTGAGAATTTTTATTAGAGTAAAAATCACGTACAAAATAAATTAAATATTCTTTAGTCATAGAATTTGAATTATTTATTTTGTTGCTTTTTCTGATTTTATTTCAAATGGTGATTTTTCTATTTTTTGTTTTTTTAGGTGTGTACCGAGGGTAGGCTAGTTCTTGAATTTACTTATGACGATCTCATGAGGATAAAGTCGTGGCATATGACGGTGAGAGCACATCGGGAATTCGTACCTAGATCTATGGTTGGAATGCATTCGCAACAACAGGACCCGGCGTTATTAGATCAAATTAGTAAAAACATCACGAGGCAAGGGATAACTAATTCCACCCTCAATTATCTTAGGGTAAGATTTATTTGTTTTTTTATTTATTGCCTTTTTATTTCTTTTCCATATGAATTTTTTTTACCGTAAACTAATAGTGTAAAACAATTTAAAAATTCATTCACGAAATTAATAATATCATTTGAGAAAAAAAAACAATTTCTTTTTCATAACAACAAAACGTGAGAATTTGATTCATAAAAATATCATTGGAAATTTCATGAGAATAAAATTTTCAAACCTAGTATCAGTTTCTTTCACTTGATCTAGGTCTAAGTCGTGTTCATGTTTCGCGAAAGTAGAAAGAATCCGGGTTACGATACAGCTTCTTTCGGTTCCAGAACGCTTTCTCCTCTTTCTCTTAAATATATATATATATATATATAGTCTCAATTTTTTCTTCAATTAATTTTTTTTTGTTTTCTTTTTCAGTTATGCGTGATTCTAGAACCAATGCAGGAGCTTATGTCGAGGCACAAAGCGTACGCATTGTCGCCACGAGATTGTTTGAAGACAACCCTGTTCCAGAAGTGGCAGAGGATGGTTGCCCCGCCGGGTAAGAGAGGTAGACGGACAGTTGCTTTACATGAGACAAAACCACCAGCCAGTGGAGCCAGTCAGCAAGCTGGTCTGCTACGGTTTCGATATAAAATCAAATTGATTACATTTCTTTTTTCACAAAACGCGAATTTTTTTCTCCTTTTTTCTATTCGTTAAAGAAAACAGAATTGATTTTCAACGTTTCTCCGCCTTGCAAATAATTTTATTCCAAAAACAAAAAATTATTTTTTAAAAAATAAATCAATTTTAGTAATTGTAAAAAAAAATATTCTTTTTTCCATTTAAAAAGAAAGAGATTAGTTGTTGCTGACAAAGTTAAAGAACTGTTTTTCTTGAAATTGTTTCGCAACCTATATTTATGTTATACTTTGTATAATCGACTACACTCCTTCTCTTGGTTATCCTTGGTTGAACACTTTGGAATACACACCAAGTGTATTCTTATCGTTCTTCGCAATCGTGCGTTATGCGCGCACACCGCGTTTCCGTTTCTTTAACCATATTTTTCCCTCCTCTTTCGCAGTTGAGCTGGTACCTACATTCCGTATATCCTTTTGCAAGGTCGGAGGAACCTTGAAATCAAACTGTGACGCGCAAATATTATGCAACTTTGTTTAAAATTGATTTTAGCAAAAATAATTTAATTCTTTTTTTTTTTGTTAAATATGAAAAGATGTAAAGTATCTGTGCATTTGTCTGTCGCTGCATGCGTGCCTGTATGAGCGTGTTTTATACGTTCATACATTAGAGACCTTTGATACTGAGAAAGGTCCACAGCTGGGTAGTGAATAATAGATTCAATTTATAGTGAAGCTGCATACGCTTAGAAAAAAAAATCCTAGGTGTGTGCACACGTGATATTGTTGCTAATGTTTTGTTTTTTTTTTCTATTTCATTAATTACAGAGTCCCAAAGACCAGCAAGTAAAAGAAGAAAGCGAAAAGGTAGTACGTCGGGACCGGGAAATAATGCGCCTCCAGTTCCCAGTAAAAAACGATCTCCGGGTCCAAATTTCTCCCTAGCGTCTCAGGTTTGTAATTTTATAATTATTTTATAATTATTTTATAATATAAATATAAAATTATATTTTATTAAATATAAATTTAGATTTAAAAAATTATATTTGTCGATAATGATTAATGTGTTTTGATTTTATATTAGGACGTGATGGTAGTGGGTGAACCATCGTTGATGGGCGGTGAATTTGGCGATGAGGATGAACGACTAATTACAAGGCTGGAGAACACACAATATGACGCGGCCAATAGTTTAGATCCTCATAGTCACGATACTCCGGGTGGACCACCTCCACATCCGCACCAATTCCATTCTGAACCTACACCTGGCAATTCTTGGCCACCGGATCGTGGTCCAGGTCCTCCACAGGGAGGTCCCGGTAGTCAGGTACATATTTAGTCCCATTTTTATTTTTCAGGGTGTTGAGCAAATCTTGAAATTATCGAATTTTTTTTCAATTTCTTTTTTTCTAATACTGTTTATTTTCATAAATTTTTTTTATTATTTTTTAATTTTTAAACTGTTTAATGCAAACTAATTTGTTTAAACAAATTTAAGAATATATAAAAATAATAATTTTTTATTATTAATAAACAGTACATATTTTTTTGCAAATATTGCTGAACATCCTGAAATTTGAATTATTCGTGAGATATTTTGTCATAAAATATATATGTACGCGAATTATCGAAGGACATAACTTTCAAAATATCGTTATACTCGATATATGGAGAATGATTGCAGAACCTGATTCGTTGTTATGTATATATATACTAATGACAAAATTATGATCCTGTTAGAATTAACTAATCAAGCACTCCCAATTATTCGATACCAATCAAACAAATGTATCTTATTTTGTTTATGATATATAAAGGAATATATATTATAATTTATAATATTGATAACAAATTTAATCAAAACAATAGAATTTAATTAAAAATATTAGTAAAATTGGATTTTTATTGATCACATTTTGAATTTATGATAATTTTTCATTGAAACATTTTTTTTTTTTTCAGGGAGTCCAGGGTTCTCAAGGTGGACAGGGTGCAGGGATACAGGGATCACAGGACACGAGTCAGCAACAGCAAGACAAGAAGAGCCCCGCTGTGAGCCAGTGAGGCCAGGAGTCCCCGCGCCCCCCCACCAGGGGGCGTCGGGGGCGCAGGCCCAAAAATGTGGCTCCCTAGCGGGGCGAGAATACTAACCTCCCCAACTCCTATTTGGCCAGCTCATCATCTTCTTCCTCAGCTGCTCGATTGTCGCAGATCGGCGTTCTACCTCTAAATTGTCAACCTGCACTTTCTGGTCTTCGTCCAGAGCAGCAGCAGCAACAGCATCATCACGCACAACTGAGTCATGTTTCTTCCATGGGGATGGATTCATTGGAGCTCTTAGCGGCCCATCATCAGGCTCAGCAACAGCAGCGACAATTATTAACAGCAGCTGATCATTCAGGAGCATCGGGCTCAATGCTGTCAACGACTGCTCAGCCTACTGGTGGAGGTTTGACGCAGCCGCTTCAGCAAGCTCAATCAGGACAAACTCAAAGTCAGGATCCACTGCAGAGTATGGTACAGCAACTTGTCTGTTTGACGCAGCTGCAACAGCTCCAATTTCTTTTGACACAGAGTGGTCATATGTAAGAAAAAGGAATATATATATATTAATTCACTAAAGCGGTGAAAAAAAATAAAGAAAACACAGGAGTTTGGGAGTTAGGCAATACATTTGTGCAGGATAAGCTAGTTTACAAGGCTGAGGAATCAGAAGATAAAAAAAAAAGTGCTCGATCCACTTGAACTCGCAATATTTTACTCGATTTAGTGAAAACAAAAGAAAAAAGAACCCGCGACAGTGAGATCAAGCGTGTGATAAATCGAATGTAGGGAAGAAAACAAAAACTCTTGCACTAAATAGAAACGCTATAAAGGAAGATTGTAAGCCACGCGCGATAATAAAAAAAAAATATATGATCGACACTCGGCCGTGGATCTGTGAATGAATCTCTATCCGTCAACAGTATTGATATAATTAATAGAGTAAATGAATATAATACTTTAAGAAGTTTTTAATTATAAGTACGTACTGTGCAAAGCGTATGCAAGTGACGAGAAACGTGTGAAAGAATGGATATCGAGATGACACAAGACTCAGGAGGTGTGTAAAAAAAAAAAAAATTTCTTCTTTTATTTTTAATATTTAATGAAGCACAAGAGTTAAAACGGTTGTGTGCTCGAGTGTGAGTTTACGTTAAACTATCATAATTTTTTATCACAAGTACGCACAAAAGTACAGTTTTATGAAATGCTCTAGAGTGGCAGGAAACAGTGTTCTTTTTTTTTCTTTTTATTTATACAAAATTGATTTAATGAGTACGAAAAGTTTGAAGATTTAAAATTATGAAAAAGTTACTTTTATTAACAATTGAGACTGAAAAATAATTATTTACAAAAAAAGGAAAAAACAAATTTATTAAAGGGAAATATTCTCAATTTTACATTGACAAGTTTTTTTTAAAAAAAATTTTTAAATAATAAGTACTTTCAAAAACTGTTTAATCATTTTTTTCGGTCTTTTAATTATTGTTATTTAATTTATAATTTTTGAAATTAAATACATAGATAAAAAGTCGAAAAATATGTCAACAATTGCAAAGAAGACAAAAAGATTTTTACTATTTCTCTTGTTCAAGGGCAAAATTCAACAATTTTGCCATTGAATGACAAGAAAAATATCTCTTTGTTTTCCAAGCAAATGAATTTTTTTTTTTTATCAGATTGCATTTTTTTAAAAACTATTTCTCTATTTGAATGATCAGGGTGAAAAATGGATGAATCCTTTTTTTTCAAAGATTTCTACTCGAAATTAATTAAAATGAAAAGTAAAAAATTATATTAATGAAAATTGAATTAAATTCATATAAATCGAATAAGCCTATTATATAGTTAATAAAAAAAAAAAGAATTAAAAATAAAATTAATTAAATTTAAAATAAAATTAACTAAATTAAGATAAATGATAATTGGGATTTATTAAAAAAAAAAAAACTTTTTTAATATTTATTTATTTGTTTAAAAATTAAGTAATTTAATTTATTAAGATTGAAAGATTTTTTTTCTTAGTTTTTTAATTATGTAAAATATTCGTATTATTATTGTATGAAATTTAATTTCTAAAATTAAAAAGTTTTGTATAAATTGAGGGTATATTCGTTTTTTATTTAGCAATTTTTTTTTGTTTCTTTTGAAAATATTTCTTGTTTCGTGCCACTCTTTTTGCAAAACGATGTGAAATAAATAAATTCGTATAGGCAATTATCAATTCACGCATTTGAATGTGCGGGTGTACAAATTTTTCTACACGCTATATTGTAAACAAAGGAAATACACACACAAAAAAAAAACAATACACACATTTTTTACTCTCTATCTCTCTCTCTTCTTTAGTAATGAATCCGTGAAAAATATATATAGATAACAAACTTATTCAAATCACGAACTTTTTAATCGCCCTTTTAGACACTTTTCTGTTTGAAATCAATTTAAAAAAAAATTACTTTCCGATAATTTTTGAAACGTTTCAAATACTTTTCTTTTATGAATTTCGAATTTCTTAATTTTTAATTTGAAGACAATTTTTTCAGATGTAAAAAATTTTTATTAACGATTTTATTTTTTTTATTTAAAATAAAAAATGCCGTGAATTTTCTTTTATGATTAATTAATTTAAATAAAATTTCGAAATTTTATTTAATTTAATTTTTCTTGATTTTCAATTTTTTTTTTGAACTTTTTTAATTTCGTGAAAGTTTTCAGTTTATTTTTCAAATGTTTTCATTTTTTTTTTCTTTATGAAATTTTTCTATTCATGAATAAATTTCAATTTCGGATTTTTTTTTACAAAAATGTCACGAGGTTAGTGTTTTTTTTTTTTTTTTTTTTTACTATTTTGATTGAGATTTGTACAGGAAAGTGTCTTTTAATTATTATGTATAAAGAAAGATTATACACTATTTATAAAAAAAGAAAAGGAAACAAATGTAGTGTAATGATACAAAAAAGATGAAAGAAAGAAAATTACAGAAACACAAACATAACAAAATTGCGAGAACGTATTGTGTTCGCACGACGTGTGGAACTCGCAAAAGTTACACGTACATTAATCAAGCATTAGTTCAATAAGCCACGCGTGAAGCCAGTACAGTCCCACAGCGCGTGTTTGTAATGTATGAAAGAATAGCGAAGAATGTTTTATGCATGAATCTGCCCGTGTGTATAACGTGTGAGAAGAAAACAAAAAACAAAAAAAAAAAAAAATTAAAAAGTCTCTCGCGGACTTTAACACAAGCATGCAGTGGGGTTTTTAGGATAAATGATTTATTGAAAAAATGTTGTATATTATTACCAATTATAATGACAACTATTATAATTAACTAATATACCCTAATAATGTGAATTGAATTTAAACGACAAAAAATACATGAACGATAAGTAAATAGGAAATTTTTAATTGTTAGCAAAGCACACGAAGTCGCCGTTTTAAAACAGACTCGGTCGAAATCGCATTAGCCAATCGATCCGCTCAAAGAAAGAAAGAAAAATAATAATAATAATGAAAAAAAAAAAGTTAATATCGATGGAGGATGGAGCATGAAAAAAAAAATTAGCTAAAGAATAAAAAGAAAAAAATTAAAAAAAAAAAATTACGACGAATAAAAGATAATGATAAAAATTTAAAAAAAGATACAGAAACGAAAATTATAAAAAAAAAAAAACATTTAAAAAAAGTGCATTATCAACGTCGAAGAATGACTCGTGCGCCTTGCACAAAAAAAAAGAGTTGTTATAATTGGAACTTGTGATGGTTCGTAAATTATTGTAAATCATGAACAACAATTTCGTGCGCCGTCATCTATATTATTGTAAATAAATGAGTATAAATTATTGTTGCTGTGTTTTTTTTCTTTACTTCATTCGCTCTCATCCGTTCCGCAATAAAACAAACAGCTCTCTCCCATTGTAAAGCACACGAGGACAATCATTAAAAATCCCGTTGAATATGCACTTTTTGAAAAATTAATTCGTATCTAACATTGACTGCACTTGTTCTCGAATTTATCACTAAAAAAACGAATTAAATGCAGATTTAGAAATTTCAAAGTAAAAAAAAAGAAAAAATCAATTCCTCGTGAAACTTTGATTATTATATATTGGTAAGAAACGAACTAGCGATGAAGTGAAAAAAATTGTCAATTATCTCTTGGGAAATGATATTATTAATAATTTTTTTTTTTTTAATGAAAATAATGGAATGAAAGTAAATTTTATTAATTAAGCAAATAGAATGAATATTGCTTAATGGGGCAATATTTTAAAAAAAATATATACTTGACTAAAGTCTATTATTTTTTTTTATTTTTATCATTATTATTTTATTGTAATAATTATTTTTATTATTACCATTATTATGAATTTGATGTAATCAAAACTATTCTAGTTCTTTTCGTACCTTTCTGTATAAACTTTAATATGCAAGAAAAAAAAAAAAAGAACAAGGCTTATTATAATCTGATGCGAGAGCCAGTGCATGATATTTTCAAATTCATGAATTATTTTAATATTAGTTTTCAATTTTTTTCTTTCTTTTTTAGCAATATTTTTTACAATTACATTGGAATTGAGAGACGAATCAGTGAATAATAATTAATTTTAAAACATATAAGACATTAATTCCATAATATAGGAAATTTTACACTCGAAATTTTAAAACTGAGAATTTCAGGGATTTTATAAAAAAAAAAAAATTGCAGCAACGCAACTAATTTATAATTTAATTTTTTTTTTCCATCAATAAATTTATGTAAAATATATAATTATTTTTCTTTTTTTTTAATGTAAGTAGACACAATACATGAAAGGTCTTAAGTATCTTCTCGCCTCAGGGATAAGCAGAAGCTGGAATCTTCCGATTTCCAATAATCGATACTTATGGTCTCTCAGATTAGTTGATTACTCACAAAAAAAAATAAAATAATTTTTCTTTTAATTTAAATAAAATATAGTATTTTTGTTGCAATTTTGAAAAAGGACAAAAAAATAATCTTGACCAAAAAAAAGAAAAATTTCTGAAAATATCGAAAATCAATATTTAAAATTCATATCAAGTGCATCGACAAGAAGACTTATATGTAAACATTCAAAGAAAATAGAAATGAAAGAAATTTCTAAAATTGTTAATTATATCGTCCAAAGAAATTCATTTTGAAAATAATTTTCTGTATTTTTGTACGAATTTATTCAGTTTCTTTTCATTTTTTTTTTTACTCTTTTTTTTTATAAATATGTGGATGATTATACTCTATTAAATAATTATTGTAAAAAGTCTTCTCTTGTGTATAAAAAAAATAGCTTGGGAATAAATGTATAATATTAACGTGTACAGTCTCCCATTGTAGCTACATTTTGGTATTGTTAGATTTATTTATTATGTAGTTATCATCTCATTTTTTTTTTAAATCATTGTTAAGCGCCTGAAAATTTCCTAATTTTTTTTTTTTTTTTTTTTTTCTATTATGGTGTCGGTTCGACTGCTAAAAAAAATCACTGGACCAGTCTTGGAAAGCGACGAATGTGCACGAATAGTGTATAAAAAAAAAAAAAAAAAAAATTAAATAATAGCGAATTAGGTGCGACTATTGCGTGCAAGGATATAATTACCTTTTTTTTTCTTTTCTTTTTTTTTTTTTTTTAATGGACATGAGCCAGCTCGGTATATTATATTAATATACATTCAAAGTTAGCTCATTGCCATTGACCAATAGTGTAATAAGAAAAATTGTCATCTAATTACATTTTTACGCACTTCCAAAAAATTTTTATCCTTGTAATTTGTATCATAGCGACATGTGTTTAAAAGTCCACCATTATATGTATGTAATCAAAATTGTAACTGAGAAAACGTTAATAAAAAAAAAAACGATATTTCGAACGTTCAATTTGTTCTTTTTATTTCGGTAAAACATTTTTTAATTTGTACATTATAAAGTGGTTTTATTAAAAATTTTAGTTTTTTAAAAAAAAACATCAGTTATTTTATTTGAATTCCGGAAATAATAATATTTGACTTTTGTTGTATATGCGCGCGCAATATTTTCTTTACCGACCCAACCCTGCTAAGAAATGAATATAAACAATAGTGTAAAATATGTACGTCAAGTAATTTGCAAAGTAATTAACGTGTATTCGACTTAATTATTATTAAGTCAATTATTATTGTTTTTTTTTTTAATAATGCAAAAAATATCTATATTGTAAAAGATTGCAATTTTTGTGCAAAATGGCTAAACGGGTAGCAGCGCCACGTATAGTGTTTTAGGTTAAGTCGGTTAAGTGACATCAGAATTAAAGTTTCGTCTCGGGGTTTGTGAGATTTTTTTTCATCAGTGAATTAGTGTGTCATTTTAATTGTAAATTCACTTTTGTATAAATTAATTTGCATATTGTAATTGATTTGTCAATAATTATTACTCATTGATAGTATTTGAAATATGCAAAAATGTGATGCCAAAAGATGATTTCTTAAGGATATATATATACTTATATTCATTTATCATTTTTAACGTGATGGGATGAAATTTTTCTTATAATCAAAATGTTAATTGTACATCTATTGACTTGCTGCGATTAATTAATCGTAAAATGGTAAGTTGTTTTAAATTACTTGACAATTATTTAACTGATGTTCATATAACCTCAATCTTGACACTTAACGATATATGAATTGTTTTTTTTTTTTTTATTTCCTATACTTATAATTTCAGTTTTATTTACACTTGAAAATGTTACGTAAAGAAGTTAATTTATCCAGATTTACAATGTCACACGTTTTTTCTATAATTAGATTTTTAATTTTTTTATTCAAAGAAATATAATCGCTAAGCGTTCATTCATTTAATTTTTTTTTTTATTAATTATTGTAAATTTCAGGGAGCAAATATATCACAATTAGAACGAGATATCGGATCTGATCAATTTCCACCAAATGAACACTACTTTGGTTTGGTCAATGTATGAATTTATTTATTAATAATTGAATTTTTTTTTGTAAAATCGATTGTTAATTAATAATTTTTGAATTTTTACAGTTTGGAAACACTTGTTATAGTAATTCTGTACTACAAGCACTATACTTTTGTCGACCGTTTAGAGAAAAAGTATTAGAATATAAAGCTAGGAATAAAAGAACCAAAGAAACTTTGCTAACATGTTTAGCAGATCTTTTTTATAGTATCGCAACACAAAAGAAGAAAGTCGGTTCAATAGCGCCTAAAAAATTCATTGCCAGACTAAGAAAGGAGAAGGGTAATTAAATTTATTAAATTGTTTTTTTTTTCTTTTTGAATGTTAATACAAAATTAATTTTGATTTTTTTCTTTTATAGAGGAGTTCGATAATTATATGCAACAAGATGCTCACGAATTTCTCAATTTTCTGATAAATCATATAAATGAAATTATTTTAGGTAAGTTGAATATTTGTTTTTTTTTTGGAGAAATTAATTTAATTTTTTTTGTCTGTTTATTAAATATTTAATCTCGGAAAATTTTTATTGTAGCTGAAAGAAATCAAAGTAAACCAACTGGAGGTAGAGGTGGCGCCGAAGATGTTGGAACGCCACCGGAACCAACATGGGTTCATGAGATTTTTCAAGGAATTTTAACATCGGAAACACGCTGCCTTAATTGTGAGACTGTATCTAGTAAAGATGAGGATTTTTTTGATTTGCAAGTTGACGTGGATCAAAATACCTCAATTACACATTGTCTAAAATGCTTCTCAAACACTGAGACACTTTGCAGCGATAATAAATTTAAGTGCGATAACTGCAGTAGTTATCAAGAAGCTCAGGTATTTTATATTTTTATTTGATTTTTGTATATTATTGATTGATTTTTTTTAATTAAATTAGTTCTAATTTCAATTTTAAAATTAATTTTCCAATGTAGAAACGAATGAGGGTAAAAAAGCTGCCAATGATTCTGGCTTTGCATTTAAAGAGATTCAAATATGTCGAACAATATAATAGACATATTAAAGTTTCTCATAGAGTTGTATTTCCATTAGAACTTCGACTTTTTAATACAGTAAGTTAATATTTGTTAAATATGTAACATTTTTATATAATAAATTTTGTAAAAATTATTTTATATTTCCAGAGTGATGATGCTGTTAATCCAGATCGATTATATGATTTAGTGGCAGTTGTGATACATTGTGGTAGTGGCCCTAATAGAGGACATTACATTTCAATAGTCAAAAGTCATGGATTTTGGCTTCTTTTCGATGATGATATGGTTGATGTAAGTTTTACTATTTTTTCAAATTCAAATCAGTTTTTTAAATTATATTTAATTAATTTTTTTTTTTTCTAGAAAATTGATGCGTCAACGATAGAAGATTTCTATGGATTAACGTCTGACATACAAAAAAGTTCAGAGACTGGTTATATTTTGTTTTATCAGTCGAGGGATTGCAGTTGAGAATTTTGAAAAGAAATAATATGGAGGTAACTTTTTCATCTCTAAAAAAGTATGATGTGTAAGTATTCGATAAATGAAAAACGAAGGATTTTCATTTACTTTTAAAACAAAAAAAAAAAAAAAATGATCTTGAACTAAAGATGAAATTCCTTCTCTCGTGACGATATATATACATATATATATGTATATATATATGTATATATAAATAAAACGATCAGCCATTATCGATGCGAGAAAAAATAGGTTCGATTAAAAAGGCTTTAGGTCGATTTTTCTAATTAATTGGATTCTATGAATCTAATAAGTTTTTTTTTTTTTGTTTCTTTTGCTAACGAGCAACGTAAGTTTTTATTATTAATTATTGAATAATCGTGTAAGTGTGTATAATTATTTTTTATTTCCGCACCAGAGGCCAAACATTTTTCTGTAACTGTAGAAATCGAGCGATACAATCCTATTTAATAATCCAATTTTAATATTATATTCTCTAATGTGCATTTAGATACTATTCATTTTACACGAAGTGTTTGCAAAAAAACAGAAAGAAAAAAAAAAAAAAAAAAAAGAATTTAAGTGACTGCAGAGATTTTAGTAGTTATATAAATGTTGCATGTACAAAATGTAATTGATAAAACAACCTTTTTGTTTTGCGATTGTTGAATATGTTGAGTTTTAAGAATAAAAGTAAAACAATTTTCTTGAATGTCATTTGTTTTTTTTGAAGAATGAGATTTCTGATATTAATTGTTTAAAAACTTAATTTTTAAATGAAGAATAATTATATACTTATTAGCTATTATTTTTTTTTATTTAAAATTAATGTAATTAATGAATTAATTATGAGACAGATCTTTGACCATTTTCATGGTCTCCTTCAATTTTTTCATAAATACTTCCGTCGCTGCTATTTTCGCTTTTATCTTCACTTTCATCGCTCACATCACTTTCTTCACTTTCCTCACTATCTTCTTCGGAATTTTTTTCTCCATCCAAAACTGAAAATAATTTTTCACTTTTGAGAATTTAAATTTTAAATCGAAAAATTTAATTAATTATTTTAATAAACAATATCATACATGCGCCATTTAAGAAAATTTATTTTTTTTTTAGTCTATTAAAAGACACTAATTATTACATATATAAAATAAATGATGAAATATCGTGTATCATGAATTCTAGATAAAATTACGATTTAACTTCCGGGTTCAATTCAAGTTCACCTTTAATTTTTGCACAATTGAAAATTAATAATTTTACTAAAATGTTTTCTTTTTTTTTCCAGTATAAAAATCGTTGAAAAAAAAAAAATGAGAATGAATAGAAAAATTTGAGATTATTCGCAAGTATTTCTTAAAGAGGAAATAGATAAAAAAAAAAATCTATCGATTAAAGAAGGGAATAATTAAATAATTAAACGTACTATAATCCCATGAATTGATGGACTCGAAGTACGCAGTGACGAGAATATCATTTTCAGGGAATTTTACCCTTCGATTATTTTTCTTCTTGCAAAATGAAATTGAACTTCGCAATAATTTTCCATCAATGAGAATAAATGGCGATGGCGGTGTAACGTCTTTTTTTGTTCCAAATCTTGGAAAATATAATTCATGTGAAATCACTCGTGGAGGAGGAAGTATTTCTTTATCTTCAATGGATTTTTTTAATTTTCTAGGATGATTTACTTTTTTTGAATTCATTTTCTCATGACATGATTTTAAAATATTATTTTCTATCAAAGTTCCTATCTCCTGATTTAACTTCTTCTTCTTCTTCTGCGTCTTCTTCTTTTGGTTCTCCGTCTTTGATTTGAATCTCTTTTTAAAAAATTTGTATCTTCAAGTATTTCCTCGCGTTTTGTTAATAATAATCTTTAAATTATTTAATGAGACAAGTTCTTCTGTAGTTGTGTACACTACTCGTTTCACAAATGCCATCATTGTCGCTATTCGATGCAAGTGATTAAGAGCTCATGATCTAAGAATAGGGGTTAGTGACGAAGCTATCGACTTCTAAAAGTAAAACCCAACTCTTAAGAGCTGAATCAATGGAGTAGGCGACCCGATTTTTATTCTTTTATTTATTTTATACTGGCCTAGACTTATTTTGTCAACTTGAAAACAAACATGATAAATAGCTTCAGTTTTTCATTGATCCAAAATAGATTTTTAAATTCCTGAGTTGAAGGTTTCCAAAAAAAAAAAAAAATTCCTTTTATTTTTAAATCCGAAAATTTTCTCATCGATGAAATTTTTACGATTATAAAAAATTTGCGATATATATATTTTTTTTTAAACAAAAATTGTTTATTACTATAATTTAACTAAATTAATATAATTAATAACGTAATTATTATTTATAATTATCATTTTTTTTTCTTTAGAAATTTCTTAATTTATTCTCTTCCTGTTTAATTCCAATTTTGGATAAATGTAGACCTCTTTTTTTCATTGTGCCAGTTAATTTTTTTTTTTTTTTCATTTGGCTTCATTTCAAATATTTTCTTGACACTTCTTTCTATCGCTATTTTTTCTATGTGCCCCAATCCACCTTAAAATGTTCCCTTTTTATTCGACCCATTTGGGTTTCTCTTCAGCAAAAAAAAAAAAGTGTATAATTTTTAAATATTGTCGAAAAGGACTTTTTTTTGTAATAATTTTTTTTTCTTTAAAATAATCTTTTTGAGATTTTATTTCATTTCGACCGATAACAATTTATTATAATTATATAGTAAAATTACAACATTTCTCAAGTGCTCTATAGTCTAATATTTTTCGTTCCAACATCCAACGTCGTCTTAAATTTTAAATATCTTCTAAACATTCATAAAGATTTTTCTGTTCTTAAGAAAAAGATTAAGGGTGTCTCCCATTTTGGCAGTGTTTGCCATTTTGTTGATGTAATGTCGTTTTAATTACAAGTTTTTTTTTTTTTTTAACATTTTGCCCCCTAATTCACAAAAATCAGTCTCCTGCAACATCTCCGTAACATTATAAAAATATTAAATTATCAACCACAGAGACAAATATTTTGTAATAAAGGAACTTGATATTTGACGAAACAATATGTACATATATATATATAGAATATTTATCATTTTTTTCAGATAGGTATAAAAATATTTAATTGATTTCATGTCATTCTTATTTTAAACTTTAAATTAATTTTTTTCTCATTATTAATTTGAACGAAATTTAGAATTTATTTGAAAAAAAAATTTAATTTTTTTACCAATTTCTAATGAGAATATAAGAATTTAAAAAAAATTATCGTGTGTTGATTGTAGAGCTTTTTTTCAGACAAAAACATGGAAAATAAGAGCCACCCTGAGTAGGAACCTGGAAAAAGATTTTTTTTCTCTCTCTTTTTTTTTCTATTTAAACAACCAGATGGGAAACATCCAGGGTGTAGGCTGCCGGAGATAATCTGATGTCATCAGAACGAGGTCTTTGGCGAATGTCGTTGTCACCTGGCCAGGCTCTTCCCGGACTTCGTGGCAAAATATTGGACCTTGAAACTGCATCCACTGCGAGGCTCACAGTTACAGGATCATTTAGTCCATTACTTTGAATACTACGTTGAGCCGCTATTGATGCCCTCAATGATTTTCTCTTCTGAAAAAATTTTATTCACATTTTATTTAATTTTTATCTCAATTCTAAAAATTTTGCAATTAATTTTTAATAGTGAATTTTTTTTTTTTTTAATATGTTTTTAATTTTCTTTTTTTTTTGTAGGTTTACCTCTATTTGTCCTCGCCATTTATCAGCGGCGTGTCTGGCTATTTCGAGTTTCTTCTGCTTTTTTATTTGATGCTTTTTATAAGCCATTTCAATAATAATGAGGCCTATACCAATCACAATACCAGCGCCCACCAATATAAAAACTCCGGCCATATTTTTCAAACCGAGAGTGTTTGGTGTTTTTTCAAGGGCATCGCACTGTTGCTGATAACCTTGCATAATCCATTTTAAATCGAGGCTCTCCATGAAACCGCCTTTTTAAAAATAATATAAAGAAATCAATTACTGGGAAATTATTTGGAATTTTACAAAAATTTGATTATTGAAAGATAAAGAAAAAATTTAATCGAGGTAAATATTTCTTTTCCTCTTTAAAATATAGAAAAAAATTTGTCCTTTTTGAAAAAAAAAAATTGAGAAAAAAGAAATTATTTTTATTTGAATCTTGAGAATATTTTTTTTCTTATATTATTGATTCTTACTTTCATGAAAATCCAATATAGCTAAAGTCACATGATCTGCCCATGGAGATCCTTTTTGTAAACCAATACCATAGCCAGACCTTCCGAACAATTCTCCAGCAGTGACCAATTCACAATCCTGAGCTGCCTCAAATTCCAATCGAGAACTGTCCCAGATAAACGCCATCAACTTCCTGAAATCAATAAAATTTGCATTGTTATTGATTTTCATGACATTCTTTCTTTTTTTTAAACTTATTTTTCTCCATATATAGAAATTCCATTTCTCTATTTGAATTTTAATTCTTTTTTTTTTCTGTTTCAGTAAAATTAAAATTATTGAAAAAAATTTTTTTACTGACCCAACTTTAACATCTTGAATAGCGTCTTCGGCTGTATTATAATTATTGGCTTCCATTGTTCGGTACATGTTTGAAAGTTCCACTTGTCTTCTAAAGTACATGTCCACTGCAGATCCTTTCACTGTGGCACATGTTAAATTTTCCATCGTGTTTCTAAGCTGTTGAAACACCATATGATAAATTATCATTGGAAAGGGGGTTTTGAAACATAAATTTCATTTTGATGGAAAATGATGAGAATTCGTGTTACGGAAAATACTATAAATTATTGGTTGGAGGTACGTAACTCTCCGTTGCACCAATAAAACATTTCTCTCTGTATATGTATATACTATATACATATATACTATATATGTGAATTTTGGTCAGGTCACTGGACAACCAAAATCCGGCTTTATCTCCCTGATTAATATAAATTACACTCGGTGATCTATTTGTACTGATGGGTACACATTTCTTTTTGCCATCAAAATTTGAAATTGAACTTTAATATTTGACCATCCGTAGAAATTATGGTTTTTTAAATTTTGTCATTTACATCGGTGATACATTTTGGATATTTATTTATTTTCAATTCTAGTTATTTTTAAATTAAAAATTTTTTTTTCTTTTCTAAAATTTAAAAAAAAATACATTTTTAAATATTGGAATTTTGTTCTATATTTATTTAATATCATGAATATGAAAAAATTATTTCAGTATTGATTTAAAAATATTTAATCTTTTTTTTTTTGTACAATGAGGAAATTATCGAGAAATTCTTTTTTTTTAGAATTAAATTTAATTTAAAAATTTCAAGTAGATACGGGAAATTTTTTCAATAGGAATTATTGAGGAATTTTTTTTCTCTTTTTTTACTCTTTAGAAAAATGAAAAAAAAATTTAATTTAAGAATTTTTTTTTGAAAAACAGGTGAAATTCTTTAATGTGAGAAATTTGATGGATTTGTAATTGAAATTAAAATTAAATCCAAATTATATCCAAATTAAAATGTTTTAATTTGGAAAATTCACATTATAAAAAAAAAAAAAAAAAAAAAAAGTATTAATGGAAATTGAAAATAAAATAATAATTTTTCGTTAAACTCACTCGAGCATCGTTGATTCCACTTAATTTAGTTTTGGGTCGTTCCAAAACGAGGAAGGCTGCCAAGTTGGCAGTATACGAAGCTACAATAATCATTGCAAATCCAGCCCAAACCATTCCCAAAACTCGGGCTGAGAAACTGCGTGGTGTACCTTTTATGGAAAAAGAATTGAAAATTTTTATTTTTATTTTATTTCTAATTTTCATTTTAGGTGAGTTTTACTTTTTATAATAATAATTAATATATATTTTTATAAAAATAATTATTATATATTTTTATAATAATAATTAAAATTATTTTAAATAATTAAAAGAAAAAAATAATTCCATAAAATAATTATTATATTTATTATAATAAATCTAAATAAAAATTAAGCCAAATAAATTTTAATTTATAATAATAATAGAGATAATTTAATTTAAATAAATTATTTAATTATATTAATAAATAAAAAATATAATTAAGAAAAGAAAATTTTTTAATTTAAATTAATAAACTAATTTCTAATTAATTTATAATTTAATTATAATTAATAAATAAATAATTTTTATTTATAATTTAATTGGATAATTTTTTTTTTTTTTTTTTGCTTTTTTTATATTATATAATTATATTTACCTTCTCCAATTCCACTATTAAGTAAAACTCCCCAAGCAAACCAAATGGCACTGGATAAATTAAGAGCGTCTTCTTCAGTTCCATCTGTGTTGGCTAATTTAAATCTTCCAAATGGAGAAAAACGATCTAAAAGATAAAGTACCAATGCTACAACATGTACAGACACCATCACTAATATCCACAGTGTATTGCTAAATGGTTGCAAGAAAGATACCAAAGTTGACGATCTGGATGGCTAGAATAAAGAAAAAAGTAGATATATTTAATTTAAATTAAATTTTGTTATTTAATATAAAATTTAATGTATTTCATTATTTTATTATTCTATTTATTGGTTTAATATAATATTTATTTATCTATTTATTGATTTAATATAATTTTTATTTATTTTTTCAAAAAACAAAATTAATGATTATTTTTAATTTTCGCGGTTTTTATATTTTTGTTTTAAAATTTGCCGCCAGAAGTGCTGCCATCTGTACATCAATCAACTACTACGTAAGACAACTTCCCGCCAAAAGAGAATATTTTCACTTGTCACGTGATGTGAAACGTTTTTATTAACACTATCGTTGCTGCAAATTTTTTTTTTAATTGTGTTTTAGTTTAGTGATATAAGAAAAATTCCAAAAGTCGATAAATATTAAACTAGTTTATCGTGTTTTTGTAAATAAGTGATAAAAGAGGACAGTGGATAATTAATTGTGTCATAAGTGAGTCGATGAAAAAGGTCGGCGATATTCGTGGAAAGGTAATAAAACAATAAATTTTGCGAAAAGTTCTTCGTGATTTTACAATTCAAGGGCAAAATAATAATCGTCAAGGATGAGGGTTATAAAGAACGAAAATTTAATCGCGTCTGTTCATAATT